ATGCGTTTGTGGTGCACCAAAACCGACTGCCCTTGAACCCAGGGGGAGGCGTCACGGCCCACCGGTCACCTCGACAAACCGACTACGTCTCGCCTCACGTGGTCACGACCCCACATGCCAAATTGGTACAGGACCTACATCCTTCCCGGTCTAGGTAAGCGTCGTTACCATGTGGTTCATGGGTGACAGAACTTTCACCTAAGTTCGTCAATGACCTTCGGTCACTTCCCTCGCCTCCTCGGGAAGCGGGGAGGAATTATTAAGCTGTAACTCAAGTTAATAAATGTAAAACACTACTCTAGTTGAATAAAATTCTTCAGGATATTTCTTGTAAAGGCCATCTACGTTTCTAAGTTTACAAGACACGTAATAATAATAATGTCATATAAAATGTCAAAGACGTTATTTCCAAAACAACTATTAACGTATTTGCTAGTCCCTGATTTGGATTAGATGTGGACTGATTGTATTGAGCGTCACAGTTAAACTTACTTGTAACACGGTACTGTAAGGATTGTCACGACCAGGACCCACATGTCATCTATGAAAATTTAGGATGAACGGTGGTGCCTAGGGCAATAGTAAACAGAATAATTAAAAAACAGTTCAAACACATTCTCAATTAACGAAATTGTTTATAACAACTAAAGGTGAAACAAATCCATTTCTCCTTTCTTGGAGTCCTCGAAATTTCTCCCTCTGTACTTCTCCGGTGCCGGCGAGCTGGGGTGGTCTGCTCCTACTGTTCCAAACAACTCGAGTAAAAGTTGTACATTTCTGCCAAAATCTAAATTTCCCGGACGACGTTAAATTGAGAGTTGACTAACATAACAAAAGGTCGAGCACGCCCCTCTTAACGGGTCTCCGTCGTCTGTACCTCGACTTTGCTCTGTTGTTCTCCTCCTTTTGTCTTTTCGGTTTTCAGGCATTTGGAACCCTGCGAGCCGTCGCTCCCTCTCCGTTTGTACGACTACGAGAGGTGACCCTTTTCCAAACCCAACAATAGGAATAACATTCGTTTGTTTTTTAGTCTCGTGTATTTGTTTGGTCCATCCATACGAATTTATCTGTAAAATTTTGGGCAAATGTAGTTTGACAATAAGTGATTTGTCGTCTGACTCGTAGACTTAATATTGTATAGAAACATAATTGCCAAAGTCCGAACACCCGCACCATAACTAAAGTTTTACACAAAACACAATAGTGCAAACAATTGGCTTAACACAAGCAGTTGAGATCTACCGCTGCGTAAAGTCGACACTGGTATAAGTCAAAACCATTGATATTAGGAAAAATAAACATCCTCCTACTTCTCCCTCACTTTTCCGTAGACTACCTTTAGTGTTAGAATAATGTTATGTAAATGAAGACAAATGAAGTCAATTTTCCAGTATTCCTAGGGTTTAATAGAAGAAAAAGAAAAAATCTACTACGAGGAATCACGACTATCACTGCACTCTCGCGGAGCGTGAGCAGGAGACTGCCCGAGAAGTAGAAGTCCTAGATAGTAGAAAAGTAGAGGAGCTCCAAAATGGTGGAATGAGCTCCCCATTGAAATCAGGACAGCAGAAAGCTTACACATCTTCCGGCGCAGACTGAAAACTCATCTCTTTAGACTCCACTTCGAGCGATAGAACTATAAACAAAGCACTTATATACTAATAAAGGGCTGGCTTATCTAAAGCCAGTTGAGTAGCACTTGAAATGTTTGGCTCTATGAAACCTGATGTACTTATATGATTCTGTTTTCTTCAAGGTTGTATCTTCCTGGTCGAATGTACTTATCGCTTTGGATAAAAGCGTCAGCTAAATGCAATGTGTGTGTTTTAATTCATCTAATCACATTGTCAGCTGTCGAACATTATAATGCAGTCAAATTTCTGCCAAAATGCTTTTACCTTGAAGGAAGGAAGTCGGACTGGTCCTCGGAGAGACAACCCTTCCATGCCACCGCTCTTCGCCCAGTCCACGAGAGACGTATGAGGCTCCCGAGGACGGTTGATCTTTTCCTCTTTTTTCTCATCATCCCGTAATGCAGACATCCCTCTAACCATTGTCTGGAAAGGCTGGAGGAGGAAACATGGTGCAATTACAATTTGTATTTATTTCCCTTTTCACAATACAACTCTGATGCCTGATCAATGTGGTCGGTGGCATCATGTTGCCACAGAGAATAAAGGAGGCCATTTGAACTGCCATCAGATGGTAAAAGTAGGGGCAGCTTTCGAAGGCACCCGGTGGACAAAGTAATATTAACAAGGTTTAAATACTTTTAAATAGTGAAAAAGTTCTGCATTCGAAGTCTTAAGCGAAAGTATTTGCATCAAATTACACTTAAGTATAAACAATACAAGTATTCAAAATGCAGAATGACTTGTTCAGAATCATATATACTGG